CTGGGAAGGGTGGTGTGTTGGTAGGGGTGGATTTACCTTGGTACGAGGGGTGTCACGTGTCACTGCTAATGGTACAAATACTAAAAGGACACTGCTTGTAATCTAAGTTGCTCAATAGCTTGTTGGTCCGGTGGCCCATCTTTCACGTGATGGGTTGAGTAGTGTACATTTTAAGAAAAGGATTATATGTTGAAATCAGTGGTATTTTTTTTTTGATGACAAGGGAAACCCGCAGCCGCTACCCTTTGGGTGCGCACAGGGTAAAACCCCCGCTCCTATGCAATAGCTCGCAAACCACATAGGAGAGGTAACCCGCACTAGGCAAGCCCGGTGCGACGAGCTCGACCCAGAAGACAAACCCCTTGCTTTCGCTGTCAAGGGGTTTCGAACTTGAGACCTCCAACATGGAAGTCCCAAGCCCAAAATGCAGAAGGGGCAATATCTTTTCCATCAATCGATCAATTGACGGCTCTCTTGCTCATTGCACAATCGGTGTGAACTGGAAATCCAGAAATCTTTGCAACCCCTTTCATCTAAAGTTTTACCTGCAGAAGATGATTTCCTGGACAACAAATTCAGTGCTTCAGCTAGATCCAATTATAAATAAGATAAGACTGCCTGTCAGTTTCAGGATGGTATGATGAGTCATTTAGGGAGTTCTCTTGGAAAAGGTAGTGGTATTTTTAATCTGATTGATGAAAGAGGAAGTATAGAATTTAATATGTTTGTTAGTCTAGAAACACCTGAAACGGAAAATTTAAGCTAAAGGAATCAAGTTGTTAGATGCTAATTAGTTTGGATTGAAGTGAAATGGATTTGGTTATTGTTCTTAGCTAGAATTGAAGTTTTATGGTTTGTTGTTAAGTTCTGGTTTTTGATATTTTTTTCTTTATCCAGAATGTTTGATATTAGTTTAGAAGCATAGTTAATTTACTGACTGTCCTTATTTAGAAGTAAGGTTTATGAGTCATTTTGTTAAATTGTTTGATGTGTTTCTATTTATGATGGGAAACATAGATTTTCATAGTGAAAGATCCCAAGACCAAGAGCAAGAGTTAAAATATGTAGAAACGGTTCAAAGATCCTAATTTCGGTAACTTACAAAATGTAAAATTGAAGTGGCATAAGTATTCAACCCTTATTGCCACACAATCAATCAACTAACGATGCCTCAACTCCAACCTAGTTGGGGTTGGATATATTAGTCATCTATATAAATTTTGCTTTAGATTTATAATGTTTCAGTGCACTTCATTCCAATAATAGCAAGTAGTTTCTCATATATTCTATTTTATTGGGAGAAGGTGAGCATGCTACTTAATTTACATACTTTTTCATTCTGTATCCTTAAATTCTGTATTAACTTTGGTGATTTGGCTATTTTGTGGAATAGAAACATGAGCAAAAGCAAAGCAAACGTTATTTCACATAGGACTCTCTTCATTTTATTGCAGTTCTAATTATATCCTGGAAACTTCGATACTAAATAAGAAGCTGTTTACTGATTGAGATCATTTGCTTCCATTCTCTTTTCTGCAATTGAAGTTTTGTTTTTGGATCTTAGTACTACTACTTCTAAATGGTATTTAGAGGTTGACTTCTTATTAATGGTCTTTTAAGACTGATATAGTCAATTAAAAGTCGAGGCTAGACAAAATATTCAGCCAATTATCCTTGCTCCGTTATGTAGAAAGCAAACTGTTTGTACATGATTTCAAGTGTTGCATCGTGATAGTGGGCAGTGACTTGAGGATCTTACTTTTCAGATTTTAATTCCTTTTGTGCACATTTGAAACCCAACCATATGAGTTAGCACCGTTAGCAATACATTTTCCAGCAATTTTTCTCGCTTATAAAATGGTTAAGACGTTATGTACAACAGTACAAACCTGCAGAATTTTTCTTTGTGGAAGTACTTAAATCAGGAGATAGCCCGTGGAACATCTAAATGATTTGCAGTTCCATTTGCAATGATGTTAATGTAAACTGAGTGTGAATTTTCTTGCAATCATTTTGGCGTCTAACTAGTATTTGAATATTGAAGTTGCAATATGTCTACAGGGTTGTGAACGTGAAGTTGCTGAGGCTGAAAAAGGTTCATCTGATGACCTTAAAAGTGAATGCATTATGCGTTTATCTTGGGCTCTTGTTCACTCAAGAAGGCCTGAAGATATACAGCGTGGGATAGCAATGCTTGAAGGTCAGTATAGTAGAGCTATTGAACTTTTTCTTCTTCCCTTCCTTCTCCCTTTGGCTACATGCCGCATCATTCATTCCCTCACCCCTGACATTTCCTTTCCCCGAACTGTGGGAGTTTCATGAAGAATTTCCTGAATGCTTTGAGCTATTACATTTCCCTAGTGCATATTCCTTTTCGCGTTTACTCCTTTTTACCTTCTCCTTCCCTAGTAGTTCATTACTTATTTTGTCATTTGCAGCTTCTTTGGGTGGCAGTAGCAGTCCCTTGCAAATGAGAGAAAAGCTTTATCTTCTGGCTGTTGGTTACTATAGAAGCGGAGACTTTCCAAGAAGCAGGCAGCTTGTTGATCGTTGTTTGGAGGTTTGATCTCTCTGTTTTACCTTTGCTTCACCCTTGACATTAATTTCAGCACATCTTTAGTGAAATTGCATTGCTTGGAACTGCATTCGTGCAATTCTGTTGCTTTCATTATTCACATACCTACACAAGTTATTTTTATTGGCAATCGCGGTTTTTCATTTCTCCTAAATTAGTAAATCTACAGATTGCACCTGATTGGAGGCAGGCCTTGACCCTCAAGAAAACAATTGAAGAGAAAATTACCAAAGGTAGCAAAATGGAACTCTCAGTGTCATTTCTTTTTTTATCGTATATCGTTTCTTGAAGAAAGAGTTGATTAATGCTATGCATTTCGCCATGTCTGAAACAGATGGAGTTATTGGCATCGGCATTGCTGCTACTGCTGTTGGAGTTTTGGTTGGTGGAATTGCAGCTGCTTTAGCCCGCAAGGGTTGACTTGCCATATAAACACAGCTAGTGTGCATGTTGAACTCAACTCTTACCTTCTGTTATCTCTTCTGAAGCACATGAATTCGTATTTGTGAGCTCAAAAGTTTTGATACTTTTCCTTTGAATTGGTAGAAAACAATGGCGTGTACAACTGAATCAAGATTCTTGATTAATTTTTATATAATTTATATAAGTTTGTCAAAAGCATAACTATTCAAGCTTGCTAAGTGTAGCATATTGCATTTTGTGTGAAGTTACTCTTTGGTTGTTTATCATGATAAACTTAATCAACAACATATAAGCTATAATTCCATAAGTATGGTATGAAGAGGGTAATATGTGTGCAGACCTTACCCCTTACCTTAGAAGGTAATGAAACTATTTCCGATAGACATTCTACTCAAGATATGATAAAGCTTATTCGTCCAATAAATATGGGACATAACAAAGGAGTAAAGTTGGAATACGTTTTAGTCATGTGAACTGTGTGTCGGTGAAGTTATAGTTCCATTCTTTTCGTAAAGTTTGACTTCATACACCACGTGACACAGAGTGGTTTTCACATTCGAGAACTAAGATTTACAACTTGTTCATTCGATAAATCTTCCTAATGCTCAGTTAATATAAAACATCACCAACTTGTATGTCCAAAAATATTTAAAATGACAAGAAAATACATTTTAAATTATTCACTTTTGAAAGGAGAAAAGAATGGGTACAATATTAACAATTACTAGTCAACAAATTGACTCTGTGGCCCAATGGATAAGGCGCTGGTCTACGAAACCAGAGATTCTGGGTTCGATCCCCAGCAGAGTCGTTTTTTTAGATTTTTTGGCCGATGTTGTTATTCCTCGATAAGTTCATTTAATGTTAAGAACCTTAAATGTCAATAGACAGTTGATATCGATGATGTAAAATTATATATATAAAATAAATAAATTTGGACTTGTGATCTTAAAAATATAACTAAAAAGGAAAAGTAAATTTTCCATTTTTTTTTTTAAAAAGAAAAAAATCCTTTGGCTCCCACATGGAATGATTACGGTTGCAACACTCTAACTTGGAATTATTTGTAGTACAAACTACAAACTATGAAGTAACACTATGTGGAGTACAACAAGTTGTACTTTTATTATAGCTAAGAAAAATTTCAAAATATTGTCCTAAAAAAAGTACCAAGTAGTAGTACACAGTTGAAATACTATCTATACTAACCTTACTATAAATATCTAATCAAAATCAAATAATTTTTATCTAGAAAAAAAAGTTAAGAGGCAATCAATATTGAATCTTCTAATATTGGTGAAAGTATTCAATAGGGGCAACTTGAGATCACATGTTGTCATTTTTCTTTTTTAGTTTGATGATTTGTATCTCAACATGTGTTCTCAGGTCGCCCCTGTCGAATTATTTTTCACCTAATAAAATATGTTTGAAAACTTTGTCAGTGTAGACTTGCTAGATCATATTATATGTCTTAAGCTTAAATAAAGAAGGGGCAGATTATTAGCGAACATAAAACTAGTCGATTCATATGAATCCTCACACTATAGATACAGGTACAATGAGGATTTATATAGCTGATTTCAACTTGCTTGGTAGAAGGTTTAACCAAGGTGAGCTTCAATTACATACATTTGATTTGATTTGATTTTCTTTTACATAATTAACAAATAGTAGAATTTTTTTTTAATAACATATGGTGTATAACTGCATTAAACAACAGAGTAATAAGACTTTGTTTTTACTACAACAACATCCCACTGTAATATCATAAGTGGGGTCTGGGGGTAACGTGTACACAACCTTACCCTTTCCTTCTGAAGGGAGAGATGTTTTTTTATAGACCTTCGAACTCAAGTAAATAGAACTTCTTTTTTTCAAAAAGTTTACTATAGATTCCAGATATAATAATACAATATTTAGTTCTATATAATTTAGAGATTTTTTTTTTCACTTGCTCAAGAAAACAAGAAGTGTGTGGTTAATTTGCATACATAGCCACTTTCAAGACTATTACAAAATAAGGCTTCACTTGGACATTTGGAAATGATCAAGGCCTAATGCAACAATTGAGGTATGTCAACATATTCTTTTTCCTCTGCACACAACAAAAAAAGAACATAAGGTAAGATGACAAGAAAGTTTGAATTATTACAATAATGTTTATGGCTACTACATGTTTCGTAGTACACAGAGGCAAATTCAGAATTTTACGTCATTAATTAAATGTCGATTCTTTTGTGATTGTTAGTACAAACTTTGTGTAAGTATGTGTCTTGTTCCAAAAATAAATAAATCATATATATGTATATATGTTTTGTTGATTCTGGTTCTATTGATCATGAGCATAGACCCTTATAGTCCAGCTCTTCCTCGAACCCCGTACATCTCAGACCCCATACATAGTGGAAGCTTAGTGCATCAGACTACCCTTTTATGTACTTCGACAAGTGGCATTTGATGTAACAGAACAAGCCATATTATGCACTTTGTGAAAGTTTCTTATAAATAGACTTATAATACATGAAGTAAAATAGCAGGGGAGTTAATTTAACACTATATATGTCTATAGTTGCTTCTTTGGTACACAGAGACGGATTCAGAATTTGATACAAATTCTTTTGTAATAATGAATATAGACTCTGTATGTGAATTCTTTTCAAATACAAGTATATATGTTAGAATCCTGATTGATGGCATTTTATGACAAGACATATGTTATGTACGTGAATTTAAGTTATATGCACTGACAGTAATAAGTCTTACCATGCAAGCATCCTCGTGCTGCTTCCTAAGATCTTCCTGCTCATGATCGATGCTAGGTGGTCGTGCTAAAAGATCATTATTTTTGTGTTGTTTCCTGTTGACACGAGCCTTCGAAAATTCTACTGTGTAACTGGCTGCTGCACCACCTCCTCCAGCTGCTTGTTGATCCCACATTCCAAATTGAGGAACAGACCTGTATCCATTTTTCTGCATTTTCAACAAATTTCGAAAAATTAGCCATTTGGTTGATATTTGAGTGCAATATATTACATAAATGGACGATTGAATGATAAATATAAACGATAAATGCAATATACTTTGAAGTAGGGGGTTCGTGGTTTGGTTTGGATCGGTTATTGGTTAAAATCAAAACCAAACCAATCTAGTCGATTTTTTAAATTTCTAAAACCAAACCAAAAAAACAACCGTTAATTTGGTTATTGTCGGTTTAGTTCGGTTTGGTTCAATTTTTCTGGTTTTTTTCGGTTTGAAAGTAATAAAATTTTTGAGGACATATGTATCTCGATAGACACAAACACCAAGTACATGAACAGTCCACATGAAAGCTATTGTCGGTTCAATTCATCAATTAAGTATTACTAGAGTTATTATCACACGAACAAAGTGATTCAATTAAGAGAAAATGTGACTATCTTATGTGAGGTAGGGTAGGTAAAGACTAAAGTAAATGATTTTGATGGACTTGGACGTAGGATTGTAATAATTGGGCTAAAATTTTAAGTGTTGAGCTTGAGAAAATGATAAAGTTAAAGACTTGAGTTAGTTAAAATTTAACAAAATATTTATATTTTATTTATGAATAATATTTATATATATAATTATAAAATTTATATATCTAATTTATCGGTTCGGTTTGATTATTTTTGCGGTTGATTTTTTAGTAAAACCAAACCAAATAGTATCGGTATTCAAAATTTAAAACCAAACCAAACCAAATATCGATTTGGTTCGATTTGATTTTTTAACCATAACCATGAACAACCCTACCCTTACTTCATATATACCATGTTGTTTTCTACTTCAAGGCTCAAAAGTCTAGACTTATCCACACCAAATTTATATGCCCATGCATGACCAGTTTGTTTGTGGCATAACACATAAACATGTCATTTAATTTAATTTTTATTTGACAATAATGTTTTCAATTTTGGGATATATATAAATAGAAATTTAAACTATCACAAAATTAAATAAGTAGATACATACATTCTACATAGAAAATCTTTATTTTTAACTGTGTAACAAATAGACACTTAAATTATTGTAAAATTGAACTAAAACAAATGTGAACAAGTGTGTGTATACTGTTATATAAAACTATAGTAAAGAAAACTCAAAACATAATTATATATTGCAAAGTGCAAACTGCAACTTGTGAAAAGGTTTTGATATTTTTGTACATAAATCGCACCCCACGGATGCGTTTTATGCTTTATTTTGATCACTTCTCTTTTAGGTAGCTAATAAGTTATCCAACACCATATATATGATTATTTTCTAAAATTGAGTCGGGCCTTGTTTGTCTTATTTTGAATTAATACAAAGTTTAAAAAATTAAAGAAGTCTTTTGAATCTTATAGTCTTAAATTAAAAATATGTTTAATTTACCAAAATATCATTTAATTTTGTAATCTTAAACATGTAAGGTAAAAAGAAAATGAAATTAAGGAATTGGTAGAAAGGGAAATATGCATGTTTCTTTAAACGAACTAATTAAAAGAAAATCAGGATAAACAAATTGAAACAGCCGGAGTTCATATTAACCTCAACAAGTGGTAACCTAGGCTTATTTCAATTGATGTTAATATGTCTAAATTTGAAGTGAAATAAGCATTTACTTGAGAAACTACGATAAATGGATAAGTTCAGACAAGATCAATGAGGATTCATATAGTCGATTCTAACTTGTTTGAGACTGAGTCGTAGTTTTTGTTGTTGTACGGACTTGAATTCAAGGTACATTTGACAATTTTAGCTAGTGTTATTCAAAGAGATTCTTATGTTATTGTTGTACGGACCTTGAATTCAAGATAACCCTCAACCCTTAACTAAAGCATCTCAGGTTCGAGATAAGAGAATATAATTGAACGTCTTTCTATAGGGAGATGTGTTATCACTTTATAGGTAGGTATGTTCAGAGTGACTTCAAATTAGTCGAGTCAGTAAACTTCAGAAATCAAATGATTAAAATCAAGAAAAACAATTCGTCTAAACTCGAAAAAAAGTATTCTTACCATATTGCCAGGGTCCTCTTGTTTCTTGCCAGGAAATTCCTGATCATTTGTCAACCCGTGACGTGCGCCTAAACCATTTTTATACGGTTGATGCTGAAACTCCTGATTATTTTCCAACCCATGACGTGTGCCTAAACCATTTTTGTGTTGTTGATGCATAGGTTCCTTATCGTTTTTCAACCCATGACGTGCGTCTAAACCATGTTTATGTTCATGATGTTGAATTTCCTTATTGTTGTTTTTCAATCCATGACCGTGATGTGCGTCTAAACCATGTTTATGCTCACGATGCTGAATTTCATTATTGTTGTTTTTCAATCCATGACCTTGACGTGCGTCTAAACCATGTTTATGTTCATGATGCTGAATTTCCTTATGACGTGCGTCTAAACCTTGTTTATGTTCATGATGCTGAAATTCCTTATTGTTTTTCAACTCGTGACGTGCGTCTAAACCATTTTTAGGCTGATGTTGTTTGTTGGCACGAGCTTTTGAGAACTCTACAGTATAACCACCATTTCCTCCATCTCCAGCATTATTATCCCATGCTCCAAATTGAGGCACTTTTCTTGGACCATTTCTCTATAAATTATTAAACGAACTGTCATCTTTAATAAATTAAGTTTTTAGATAAAATGATTGACGTCAATTTTTATCACTATTTGTTATAAAACAAACTATCAAACTCACATGGAAAAGAATGTATCATGAAAACATAATTAAATTATATATGTAATCGTGATATGAGCTTTTAGATGAGATGATAATAATGATGATTAAAAGATTGAAAATAAGTTAATGAATCATGATCATTAAGCTAATCAAAAAGGAAATTAATTGCTCTATCTTCAATATCATTTTCCATTAAATCATTTTTTTTTCTCTTTCCATTTTAATTAGTTTCAAAATAATCAAGAAAATTACATGAACTTTTAATACAATTTTCATAAAAAAGAAAAAGAAAAAAAGGGAAATTGCTCTATCTTCATGAAGATCATTTTCATCAAAATCAATCTAGAACATTTATTTTCTCTTACATTTTCCATTAAAAGATCATACAATCTAAACGAGAAGTTATTTCTTTTTTCAAAAAGATTGAATAAATACCCAAGGATTATATAACAATCTCCACAAATGATTTTGTTTCCTATCTTGAAGATGATAAGAAGAATTAATGGAGAAAGTAAATGATTTTTTTTTTTAAAAATCATTAATTTTTCAAATATTAAATCTAAAACATACCTCCTTTCGATTTTCCATGAAGCACAAAGAGGAAAAGACACAGGAGAGAAATGGTGAAAAAAAAAGGCTTTGGAGGAGGTTATAATGGATTCTATAAATATATATTTATAAAATCTAATTATTTTAATTTAATTAATTAATTTATTTATTTATGAAAAAATGAGATGAAGTTTAGCTTGCCACATGCTCTATATAGGACTAAGCATTGGGAGTGGTAGTTATATTCTAACAATCCTTCCATGTTGTCCATTGCCATAGGATGTTTTTTTTTTTTTGGGAAGAAATAATGGTAAAAAACATATCTGAATTATTATATTTTTTGTGAGTTTTATATCTTAACTATCACTTTCTTTCTTTGTATTAAAACATGCTTCGATGTTAAGTTGGACACGCCTTCTATCGATCGAGAACAAATATTTGAGAAACTCAACATCGAGGTGCGTTTTTAATATAAAGAGAGTGATAGTTTTAAGTAGGTAAAGACAATAATAAATAATTGAGATATGAAACTCACGAGAAATAATGATTTAAATGTAGTTTTAATTATTACTCCCTCCATTTCATATTAATTGAATTGTTGAGACATTTTTTATTTTTCAAATTAACTTAATTGTTCAATTTTCAAGACTACTTTTAGAATGTTTTTTCAATTTTACCCTTAATTAGTTAGTATTGAAATTAGTTATTAATTAATGTTTAGTTATTTTAATCATAATTTTGATACTCCCTCCATTTCAAATTAATTCAATTGTTGAGGTGTTTCACACCCTTTAAGAAAAAAAAGATTAAGACATATATTAAGCATAACTTTCCATTTTTACCCTTATTAATTATTGTCAAATTTATGATTAAAATAACTAAATATTAATTAATAACTAATTTCAATACTAACGTATAAATATCCATTAGATGTTTTTAAGTATTTTCGTTACTCAAATTGGATGTCTCTTTGTCAACTATGATATTCATCAAAATATGAGACTTCCATGACCTCGGATTCTTTCACCTCGTAGCTAATTTTTGGGGTGTGATTCTCCGTCGATTGTATCAAAATAAAATGGAAAATAAAAGGAAGCTTGACCACACGACTCAATTATCAAACGAAAACAAAATCACTTCCACACGTAGTTTTATTGATGGGACTGTTTCTTAAAGGAATTAATATGCACATATTTTTTTATAACATAAGGTGTACATAGATCATGGACACCTCAAAACCTAAGTAGTATGGTTAAAATTACATCTCAATTATCACCTTTTTACAACTTTTCGAATTCGCATCGCAAAGTCCCACATTCGGACACTCCCTAACAAAGGTACTCCGTATCCAAGGGGACTCAAACCCGAGACGTTTAATTAAAGATGAAGGAAACAATCTTTGTTGGTCACTTGCTTATATATTAAAACACACCTTAAAACTGATTACGCCAACTATCCGATGTTCCCATTTCCTACCTGTACTATATATTACCAAACATGAAAAGTCTTTAGGATATCACCCATTGTGAAAACAATAAACAACTAACTTGAACCATTATTATTAAAATAATAATATTAATAATTAGTGAATTTTATCCCCTACAAATAAGCACAGTCAAACTTGATTCCTTCCACAAGTTTTCAACAACATTTTAAAAGAATTATCAAAAAAAATAAAATAGTTATATTAATTTAGTCCTATAATCTCTCTGAATCATTGCTCTAAGCAAATGAGTTCCTCATTTCATCATAGAATTCTCAGCTTTTCTGTTTTTTGTGTGTTTTGTGTTTTGTTGAAACTCTCTCTACACCAATAATGAAACTCTTAATTCTCTAACAAATTCTTTTTTTTCTTTTTTGTTGTTTTTTTGACTCCCTTCAAACCCCCCATTATTATTTTTTCCTTTCTTGCTTTCCCTCTGGGACACACCCCATTTTCCCTTCATTCACTTTCTAATCTTCCCTTTCCTTTCTCCAACAAAAAACATAAAAACATAACAAAAAAAAAAGTAGTTTGGATCTTTTACTCTTTGCCTTTTGTCCCAAAAAATAAATAAATATGGGGGGTTGTTGCTCAAAGGCAGAGACTGATCCTGCACAAAATAATGAAGAAATTGCACAATCATATTCAAAACAAGGAGAATCACATGCAGGCATGTAAATCTTGATTTTCAAATTTCATCATTTTCAACCAATGTCAACCTATATGCACATATATGTTATATTTGAATCTTTTTGGATGAAATAGAAATCTGATGAAATATCTTGTTAATACATGGATAAAACGCGTGATGACATGCTCAGAAAAGGCATATGCATCGTGTACATACATGTATTCTATTGAAAGTTATTCAGTGAAATGATGTCTGATGATATCTCTTGTTACATGCATAAAAACACAGATGTGTGTGTATGTCTGATGACATCTCGTGTTGATACATGCATAAGAACATAAATATGCAGTCAGATGCATGTTCATAGAATGCATATGCATGCATAGACATTCTATTGAAATTTATCGATGAAACAATGTGTAATGGCGTTTCTTTTCTTGTTAATACATGCATTAAAACAGAGGCATGCACCCGGACATATAATATATTGAAAAAAATTCAATGAAACGGTGTCTGATGACATCTAGTGTTGTTACATGCAGGAAACAATGACATGCAAGGTTCCACTACACCATCAAAGGCTCCACCACATGCATCACCAAACCATTCTTCAAAGCCATCTAAGGCAGCCCCAATAGGGCCAGTATTAGGCAGGCCAATGGAGGATATAAAGGCAACATACACCCTAGGTAAAGAACTAGGAAGAGGTCAATTTGGTGTAACACATTTGTGCACACACAAACAAACAGGGGAGCAATTTGCATGCAAAACAATTGCCAAGAGGAAATTAGTGAATAAAGAGGATATTGAGGATGTAAGGAGGGAAGTGCAAATTATGCACCATTTGACAGAACAACCAAACATTGTTGAACTCAAAGGGGCTTATGAGGATAAACATTCTGTGCATTTGGTCATGGAATTGTGTGCTGGAGGTGAACTTTTTGATAGGATTATAGCTAAAGGGCATTATACTGAAAGAGCAGCAGCTTCATTGTTAAGAACAATTGTGCAAATTGTACATACTTGTCATTCAATGGGGGTCATTCACAGAGATCTTAAACCTGAAAATTTCCTCCTACTTAGCAAGGATGAAGATGCACCTCTCAAGGCTACTGATTTTGGTCTTTCTGTGTTCTACAAGCAAGGTAATACCTATCTACTCCATTTGTTTCATTTCATATGACAATGTTTAAATGGTCGGAACAAAGTTTAAAGAAAAATAACTTTTGACACATGAGTTACATATATCTAACATATCAAAAATAACATTAGAATCTTGTATTTTTTTAACATAGCCCTGCATATACACATTCCAAATCATGCATCATAAACTGTTTTAAGGCAGATCTTGAATATTTGTTGAATCTTTTAACAACACTATGTTCCTTTTTATGCATATTTTTTCTTTCTATGTTACAGGAGATGTGTTTAAAGACATAGTTGGGAGTGCATATTACATAGCACCAGAAGTGTTGAAGAGGAGATATGGTCCAGAAGTTGATATTTGGAGTATTGGGGTTATGTTATATATTCTTCTTTGTGGTGTTCCTCCTTTTTGGGCAGGTAATTAAATTACAAAAAATTATTATCTGATTGTATATCCTCCAATAGAATCAACCCAGTAGCACTAACGCTTCACGTTCTTTCTATTCTAATCCCCATCACATTCCAGGATAGACGGCTAATACTAAAATGCACACACTTAACTGAAAAAAGAGAGATTTCCTTTTGTTACCAAGTCTTCTTTTATTGATTGATGTTTTTAAGTCTTCTTATCTAAGAGGATATCTTAATCTTGCTTTGGAGGCCCGAATCTTCTATACAGTTAATATATAGAACTTATACTCATTAGAAAATGTTGGTGCGTTTCAGAATCTGAAAATGGAATATTCAACGCAATACTGCGTGGACATGTTGATTTTTCAAGTGACCCATGGCCTTCAATATCTAGTGGAGCTAAGGACCTTGTTAGGAAAATGTTGAATTCAGATCCCAGTCAAAGGTTAACTGCACTCCAAGTCCTAAGTAAGTATTTTATATATATCACACACACACACACACTTATAGGTATTGAATTAGTATATTTTGCATATTCAATTTTCTAACTAATTGAGTGCGTATATATTATAATATGAATTAGATCATTCATGGATCAAGGAAGATGGAGAAGCACCAGATACACCACTTGACAATGCTGTTCTGAATAAGCTCAAAAACTTTAGTGCTATGAACAAGTTCAAGAAAGTTGCTCTTCGGGTAAGTTATACAGTCAAACTTTAAAGCGTTGTTTTCTGTATATTTTCAGTCAAACTTATTGTATACAATTTGTAAGTAACTTAACTTGATGGTGCAAGAATATTAATACTTAAAACGTACACCATGAAAAGTATAAATTCATCAAAAAAATGTATATATTAACTTGGAAAAATTTACAGGTTATTGCAGGGTGCCTCTCAGAGGAAGAAATAATGGGATTAAAGCAGATGTTCAGAGGAATAGATACTGATAATAGTGGCACAATTACACTTGAGGAGTTAAAGCAAGGATTAGCCAAACAAGGCAACAAATTATCAGATTATGAAATCAAGCAATTAATGGAATCTGTAAGTTCTCTAAACATTTTTGGTTCTTCAAAATGAGTCTTTTTAATATCAAAACACTTCTTTTTTTTCTTGAATTTCAACCACTATAACAGGAATTTCAATATGAATATGAATTAAGTTAGTGTTTGATGTCTAAGATTAAACTTTGTCTAGATGAAAAAGTGAAAAAATGAAGATTAATTTGTGCCTTTGCTTCTTCCATCTAATTAAGCTAATTATTCTGATGTGTATATGTTTTTTGGATAACATTATAGGCTGATGCTGATGGAAATGGAACAATTGATTATGAAGAGTTCATCACAGCAACAATGCAAATGAATAAAATGGACAGAGAGGAACATCTTTACAAAGCCTTCCAATACTTTGATAAGGATAGCAGTGGGTAAGTTTATTCCCCAAAATCAAAATTCCTTAAGGAAGAGGACGGGCGAAAAAAAGAAGATTTAAGTCATAACTGACCTGATTGTGTAAATATTTTTTGTCCAGCTTTATATTACAGGATATAATTTGCTTTTTTGATATCAGGTATATTACAATGGAAGAGTTAGAGCAAGCTTTAATAGAATTTGGTATGAATGATGCAAAGGATATTAAAGAAATCATTTCTGAAGTTGATTCTGACAATGTAAGTAAAAAAGAACATCTAAAAATGCACACACTTTATGCATATAATGATTTATAGTTCTGCAATTTTTTACAAATTAATGTATATAAATAAAAAACTTTTTTTTTGCAGGATGGTCGTATTAATTATGATGAGTTTGTAGCTATGATGAAGAAAGGAAATCCAGAAGTAGCAACAAATGCAAAGAAACGAAGGGACGTTTTCGTCGAATAATTGTTGTTGTTATTGCTATCAGAAGAATTTGGCAAAAACAAAAAAAAAGAAGTAAAGTTATTTGTGTCTTTATTGAAGGGAGAGAGACCAAATTTCAAGAGAGTTTCAAAGTTATAGATGCTCTTGTATATTAACTAATATGTTAAAAATATTAAAAGAAAAAAAAGAAGATGAAAAATGCAATGAAAACAAAAATAAGATTGTAGAATTTGATGGATAGACTGTGATTTGAGGGTCTTTTTTGGTTAATGGTTACTTTTAATGGTTGTTTTTGTGTTGGAAACAATGGGGTCTTCAATGTATCTATCTATATATAATATAACATAATGTATAATATATAAATACATGTGTATATATGTTTTGTGCAACACTAGAGATAGATATTAAGTGTTGTTTTCTAATCAATAACCTTTTTGATATTGTCTTTATGTACATACATCAAGTTATTGAAAGAGTTCTGACTAAGAGCAAATATCCTTTTACCAATTGAGATCTCAAGATGTACTATAAAGTTTTTACACTAACATTTAATTTTAAAAAAAAGAATGATGCAGAAAATGAAAATTCTCTCTTGTTGAGATTCTCATGATTTATTAAAGTTTTATGGAATATCATAAAGGGAAATCCAGTGCACAAAGCATTTTGCGTTCACACAGGGTTTAGGGAAGGATGCACGCAAGGAGGTGTAATATAGGCAACTTTCCAGGCTATAGGTAACCTATAGGCTATAGGTTACACGGAGATAACTTGGCCGTTGCTCCAAGTCTCCTTTCCAATGGAATATTCATGCCAATACCAATTTGAAACAGAACGCAAAAGCTCATAATCACCACTTCATACACGACAGAATTGTGACAAAACATTACCAGTAAATCCATAAACATCTAGCAACATTTCAAAATATGGAGAATTTTTTAAAATTATGCATTGTGTTATCTCTAATATGGTGAAAACCCTAGCAAATTGTATGATTTGATGCTTGAGGCATGTTGGAAATACAGAGATAGCATACAAAAGATGTCCTGACATCAACCATTCACATTGATGTTTGAGTCAAAATTGTAGGACAAATCGAAAACAAAATGGTTTTGTCCAAACTTAGCTCTGTCACCGGGAGGCGGGGCAGGGGAAAGAGCAGGGACACGAAGAGTACCCGCTTCAATAAGTTGGGATCGATGGATCAACTTTGACAGCATATTCATGGATTCCTCCGGCCACGTTAAATACTTTCCTGAATCCCTGAGAATCCCAAATAAAAAAATTTGTAAAGAAGCAACAATGGTTCATTATGAGAGGATGAAAAATGACAGAATTGCAGCATAGCCTGCCTTTTGTGTTATGATCGATGTTCTAGTGGTAATATCACCTAAGATCTATCGACATACTGGAAATAAACCATCATAATTAGTTTCACCACTTCTCAAATCATTAGGTGTATGAAACATGTCATAGCATGCAACGTACTAAAGCGGATCAAATGTAAAAACTAATATGTACATTGAATAGAATAGTATAAGCCTCTGGAGGTAGGACTTTACACCCACTAACAAAATACATCAGCTAGCGTTAGGTTCATCATTCTGTGAAGGAAGATGCTTAAACCAGCACCTTTTAGAAAGATGCACTTTCCATAAGTATATGCTGTGAAAATAAATAATTCTTATATAAACAGGTATTTAGGCTTTTTGCATACTTAATTGGAGAGATGCTTCAGTAAACCTAATAATCAACCCGAACCCCAACTTTCTTCTGGTACACATCACACCTTACTTATACCTCGAAGTCCACAAGTGAAGATCTAAAAGACCATCTTCATCTAATAGTATGAGAGATAACTGTTCCAATTTATACCTTGCATCTCAGAGATGATAGGAACACAAAACCTTCCATTACATGTAGAACAGGTTTATCTGTTGACATTATACACAACTACAAATGAAGGTAAAGATCCTACCTGTGTCTGCAACCACTTGGCGACTTGTAGTGACCTCATGCCATGGTGACACTGCATAGAAGACAAAAAGTTATTTGAGAAGAGACAGAGGAAAGAGAGGGAAGGAAGAGGAGAAGCATATTTTTGAATAACCGATATTCACCCATCTGACCCTCTATATGTTATCATAGTTTATCATGCCAGATTTTTACAAAATAAGCAGTCAAATCTTGAGTTAAACGCTTCTGTTTAAGGAGAAACTCTTAGCTCAAAGAGTAAGAACAGAAGACCGGCTTCTAAACAGTGTTAAGAAGTATCTACAAAGAAGAACATGCACTAACCAACACATAAGTGTCCTTCTGAGGATCGAACTTAGTAGTTATTTCTGGTCCCCAGACTCCAAATTGGCGAAGAGGAAGAACCTGAAATCCTGGTACAGAAGCCTGGGCCCTGTCACAACACAAAAGGCAGAAATGAACAGTGGAACCATGATTCCTGCTCTTCTAAAGAAAAATATAGTGACCTCATCCTCCTTCCACTGCATTCACATGTTTAAGTATCATGCTCTAACTTTCCAATGTCGCCAAACATGTCTAATGAGGAGCACTGAATTAATTTAATTTTGAAGCAAATAAGACCAGTCTATTGACTCGCACAACTTGTTATTGTCATTGTTAGTACAATTAATACTACTATTACTCATATGCCAGGTGTTATGCAGATAAAGAACAAATTCCACATTTGCACGGGATATTACTAGCTTTCGAGGCAGTTTCTGGCTTGAAAGTGAATCTTGCTAAGAACAACATCAAAACATCATTAGTTTTAATGCACCCCCAAGTTTGGTGGGCAGCTTCTATTAGCTTCTCCTTATATTTGAAGGCTGAAAGACAGGTCAATTCTGCTCAGCATCAAAAGCTATTGCCTTCCCATAAGTCATATACCTATTCTCTCCGTCTTTGTCGTGTGACAGGAACCATGTGGACAAGCTTCACAACTGAAGCCACATTCATTACTTGGGAATCCCCTCGGACTCTTTTCTATTTTAAGTCCAGTATGCTCATTAACTTAAATAAATAAATAAATAAAAGATATTAAAGCTGCAAGTGAGTATTCTACAATAGTGAAAGAAACGAGCTCATACACTTCCTCTGGTTCCCGAACATCAATCAATTGAGCCTCTTCCAGGAAAGAGGGATCTTGCAACCTCACATGAAACTCGTTCGGCTGGATGTGTTCAAGTACAGATTCCTCCCTGCATATAGCAGTAACACAAGTAAGAACAAGGCTCCTGAGTTGTTCAAGTGAAGAAGGATTTCTTTGATTACCTCTCAGATAGAACTTGCAACAAATGCCACCCAAACTTAGTTTTGCACTTTACAACCTTATTCAGAGGTGCACCAAATGCAGCTTCTTCAAATTCTGGCACCTAATAATATTAACAATGAAAATACAAAAATCAAATAAATCAAGTCAACTAAACCTGGGCATCCAGGTGACCAAGAATGCAACTTCTAAAAAGTAGAAAGGTACTTATTAGGATACAAATAACAAAAGGCAACAACGGTGTAGTTATGTACAATTGGAAATTTAAAATTATAACAAAAGTCAAATCTCCATCTAAATGTTTATAAGACAGCACATGTATGATATTTTGTTTGCTATCATCTGAAGGCCTGTCAGTATGAAAATTAACATTCTGGAAACATAATCACAAGAAAATTTGATTCCTGTCACCAAAAGCGGGAGAAAAAGAAGAAAAATACTTTTGAAGATAAGAAGCATACCATTTGCCCTTTTCTCACCCAGCCCAGCATTCCCCCATCTTCTTTTGATGGACACATAGAATACTCAACGGCCAGATCACTTAGATCCTCTCCTGATTATAACAAGCATTTCAGTCAACAATATAAATGAAAGGACAAGCATCAAGGGAAAACTTGTTTCATACTGACATACCCAGTTCTCAAATTTAATCATGACATTTAAATAACTTACTTATAAATTTAGTCCTCATTTGTTCTCAGCTTCTAATATTTGTATGGAAATGTTACTGGGGCTTTCCTTACTAAGAAATAAAGTTGAAAACTAACCTTCAGCAGTTCTTTTCTGAAGGTCCAGTAGAAGCTTCTGATCGTCTTCTTTGACAAGTAAATGCTGTACCAATATCTCCCGATCACCTCCAGAACTGCCTCCAGTACCACTCCCAGCACTATATGAAGCTGAAAGTTATATATTGTGAGATTTAGCAGCAGCATGTATCAGATGATAGCAAAAGGAAAAGAACTCTCTTCGCCTTTCAGATTCTGGAACAACCACTACACGATCTCAAGATCCAGAGGACATCAGACAGACAAAACCTATAATAGCTACAGTCAAATTTCTGATGATTGATGAAGCCACTTTTTTTTTTGGAGATAACTGTGGTGTCCGGGCCAGCTTACGCGAAACTCCAGTACCACTAACTACAAAACGTGCTGCTTTCCCCTAATAATTCTACAAATAGGCTGTTTCTACAGCTCAAACCATGACCTACAGGCATGGGCAGAGCTAGGGAGGAAAAGTACACTATATGCACAAGGTCAAAATCATTTTTTTTAATTTATATATATAGCAATTGTTGAATCCTTTGGCTTTTTCATGCATTTACTTCTTTATATTTTGAATCCCCTTACTACAAACCGAGAAAGGTCCAGTGAGAATGGACCTCACACCTATTGCCTGGAAACTATGATACCACTAAACTACAAATCGTGCTACTTTCCCTTATTATTTCTGCAAATAGGCTGTTTCTACAGCTCAAACCATGACCTACAGGCACGGGGAGAGCTACGACCGAAAAGTACACCTTATACACAAAGGTCAAAATCATTTCTTTGGGTTAAGGTCTCATGTCCAAATTCCAGCAGACACAAAAACACTGTCTTGATTGATAGAGTTACCTGGTCTATCTCATGGAATTAATTGAGGTGCCGTAAGCTGGCTCGGACACCACCATTATCAAAAAAGAATCATTCTTTGGGTATATATAGTAAATGTTGAATCTTTTAGCTTTTTCATACTGAAAATCCCAGCTTCGCCACTACCTACACATCATCAAAAAGAGCAACTCTACCCCACCCCCCTCCATTTTGACCTACATTTTAACTCTAATGTTACACTAGGGCTCAACCTCAACAAAGCATCCATCAGCTACGAACAAAAAACAGTAACACAAAAGAGATTGTTCATAGAATCAAACAAATACCTGTAATTACTCTCGAACAAGAATGACTACGACCCATCATTGTTGACACCCTTTTGAAGGTGGGAAACTGGAAATTACGTGAATTGGGGAAAAGGGTTGTCGAGTGAAGTAAAGCTAAGCGAGTGAAGTTTGATACTTTACGAGAAGATGGATTCAAGAAAGAGAGAACGAAATTAACTGGTGCTCCACAAATTGAGGGAATATGCAAAGAAGAATAAGAAATTCTCAACATTTTTTGGGATTTTTGAGAAATATGGAATGCAAATTGAAATCAATTTTATGCAATTTTTCTTGAAATATTAGAAAACTATATCTACTACTCTCTCCATTTCATTTTGACTTTAGTACTTCCCTAGATTTTGGAAATCTATTTGTTGATTATTAAGGGGTCGTTTGGTGGGGCGCATTAAAAAAATAATACAAAGAAAATTTTATTTCAATCATGACACATAAATTGGAATAAAGGGTATATTACCATGTTTTGTTTTTACTTGGATTTTGAATTAGTCATATATCTTTGTCTATGAAGAAAATCATCACCATCACACACCACCCCTTTCGATTTCACTTGTGAAATTACATTGAGTATTGAGTATGTAGTCTCAAACCAACAAAAATGAATAATGTCCAAAGAACTAACTTTGAAGAGCCTTAACAGCACCTGTGGATAGTTCAGAAAAAATAGCCATATACAGTTTGTCATCAATTTGACATTTAACTTTGCCAAAACCTCTAGAATGTGGCTATAAAACACAGTTTTAAGTAAAATCCTACTAGAACAGCAGAACAACCAAAAAGCTGAATTTTAGAACAACTACTACAAGTGCTAATAACCGGATCAAATTTTGTGTATATATTCAAAGAATTTCGTAACATAAATACACTTTACGAGTAAAAAACTATTGGGTTTGGCTGCACCCGTATCTGAACTTCTACTTCCGCCCCTGTTTCTGTACTTCTAGAAAATACAACAACCAACTCTGGCATTGGAACAAATTTATAAGGACATGAATGGTACAGACTCCATGCATTTAAAAAGAGCAACGGATTTGAGTAATAATCCTGTCAAACCTCCATTGATTGATAATGATTTTCAGAAAAGTGGTTTGAGAGGCAAGCACTGAAAAAAAAAATTCACCATAATCCTACGGAATATGTAAGTAAGTAGCATCTAGAATAGAATCCAGAGCAGCTAAGAAAAAAAAAAGGGTTGAACCCCGCTCACAAACCAGGAGATCTGGGGGCTTTTGCCCGCTCATCATCAATCCCTCGTTTACTTCTTGTGGAAGTTGGAGAATGGTGTCATATCTTCGTCTACCTCAAATGTGACAAGGGACGGAAGTTAACAGTGGCAATCAACTTCCTGATTATTTAGGCGACTTGATGGCCTCCAAGTATAGACAAGCATTCCTATGACGAGGATGATGGCTCCTGAAATGAAACCGGGTGGGAGGGAGGACGCAACGCCAAGATATGGTAATGGTAATGTGAATAAAAAGACTGAGATTGGTACTGCAGAGAAAAGTATCAAAAGAAATTGAGGTCAGTGGCGCCTAGATATTCGTCTAGAAGAGAAGGTTTCAACTGCAGTAAGCTGAGACTAAATCAGCTAGTGTCAGTGAAATACCTGAAACTGTAGACGCGAGACAAGATAGCACAGCAGAGGAAATCTTAAGCAGATGTAACAATGATATATTGTAACCCATGTTGACAATGATAAACAGCAGCGGTAGAAGAGGTGCACCAGCACACCCTAGAACAAGACGAGAAAGAAACAACTACAATCAGTGTTCTGTCTTTGAATAAAAGAGTAATAAATTGAGAAGAAAAAATCGCATGATCTAGCTTTTGGGGTCGAGTTAGGTCCAAGGTTCATTATTCATGCTTCTCCTTTTCGTGCATCATCAGAAGCTAACTCAAACTATTTCACTACTTACCACTGGATAATGTGCCGATGTTCAAAAAGCATGCAGCACCATCTCTAAGATAGTTTGGCAGTTGAGTAAATGGAACACCCCATAACTTCGACAAAAATGGGAGGAGAAGGCATATAAAAACTGCCTGCAAAAGATGTAGAACCAATTTCAGTAAGGAAAAGAATACAGTGAATGATAAACAGTATAAGATGCCTACCTGGTAAGCCGATCCAAACGAGTTCACAACAAACAGATCAACATTACCTCCCTGCTTATACCATGGTAAATTAAGAAAAAGACCATCAGATCATAGTACGTCAAGTAATAACAGAACAAAGTTAGGAATTCAACATACATTTTTGTGGGTTAACTGAACCTACGCAAGGTGACTAAAGACGTTCAAGTCTAGGTACAACTCTTTCTAGTAGCAGAACAAGTCTCCTCTTACTTTTCGACAAAGATAAACTTCTTATTCAGATAATGGTTTTCTGACTTTAAACAGCTAAATCATGTACTCCCTCCGTTTCGATTTGTTTGTCTTACTTTCCTTTTTAGTCTATTTCAAAAAGAATGCCTCTTTCCTTTTTTAGCAACTCTTTGATTTCAATTTTTCACTTGACATTTTTAAGACCACAAGATTAAAGGGCATTTAGGTACATTCAACATTTCTTTAGTTTAAGACCACAAGATTCAAAAGTTTTTCTTTACTTTCTTAAAATCTGCGTTAAGTCAAAACTAGACAAATAAATTGAAACTGAGGGAGTGATAGAAAAATCTGCAGCATGCCTACCTTCAGCCTTTTAGCAGCATCCAGGAATATTACTTCCTGCATACAAGGAAAATGAATCCTCTAGGTAAATCATACTGCTATCATGAAGATGACAAAACCTCGAAATCCTATTGAAAGAAGAAGAGAGGAAACAAAAGGGAAGGTATGAACCTTCAAGACAGTATCCGCAGCTTGTAACAAAAAAGAAACTATCATCAAAAGACTCCAAAATACACCACCGTCCATCAAAGATCCAGCACTAGATCCACTGCAAATTAAGTAAGAGACAATCAGGAAATTCAACCACTATTTGAAAGTATGGTTCCTCATTCAAACTTAATTGCAAACCAAGATTTTCCAAAGAGGATAACTCTTGTTGGAAGTAGATTGTCATTTCAAATATTTCATTTATCCATGAGTAATAAATAACGTGGAAGTCCTACCTAACCAAACACAATAGTAAGGATAAGATAGAAGTTTGGAGTGTGATAGGATGATGCACACTTTAGGGGCATGGTTACTGTAGATACTTAGAATTATAGAAACATCTGATTGGTTTCTCAAAATCTCTAGTTCAACAACAAATAATTTTGACAAAGGGAACACTAATGATACGTATCTGCAGCTGAGCATCATCCATACGCAGAAAGAGAAAGCACAAATGCAACACTTCACCATTTGAACTTTCGGTGGTTTTATTGTTATACTTTTTCACTAAACAGTATAGAGAAGATAGACATTGACTTCCAAGCAATTTTATGTGCATCAATAAGTTTTCTGAAACTTCACATGACAATAAGATTTAGAACACTTTAGGAAGAACTCTTGTTTTATTTTTTGGAGTAAGTGCATTCCTCAATGACACTGCATCGCATGAGACTGACCAGCCTCAATGGCACGGCCAAATCCAAGAGGAGCATAGGCATACTTAGGAAGAACTATCACCACAAACTAAATAGACGACGAGGCTTCAGATCTCAGTAGTTAGAAACTTCCAGCCACTTGAACAAATTTTGCAAACTGATTGTTACGTAATTCTCAAAAAGCTATAGACAGAAATTGTGTCACATACCTTGCTACAGTTACTATAACACCAACAGACACGAGAAAGCACCCAAACAACTGGTTGAGGCTATATCTTCTCCCAAGGAAAATAAAAGACAGGAGAAGTTGCCAGACAAGAAAGCTCTGCAAGATCAGCAGATGGCCGAGTTAAATAACAGATTCAATTAACTTGTCACAGGAAGCATTACACGAAGTAAGCCTACAAGCATGTCCCTAAAACAACAACAAGCACTATGCCTCAATCTCGCTCTAGTTGGGGTCCTCAATATTCATTTGGACCATTTCATTTTAATACTCAATCATTTGTCTTTTTTCTATCTCCCAACACTACAAGTTTTATAAATTTTACACTGACATGAAAATCTCTAAACAAACTAAAAAGATTCCTGCCAAACATATATGGATCTTTTGCTTCTGTTTTGTTCTATTCTTTGCTAAGTCCGAATATATACTTAAGAGTCTGTAGGTCTTTTATATGAATTGTGTCTACCTCATCCACTTTAGCACTTTCAATCATCATAGTATCAATTCTACAAGCCTGTGCATTTGGAGGTCCAAAAAGGACATAACCAAACTATCTCAGGTGACTTCATCTCATTCTTATCCTCTATGGCGCGTACTACTTGTGCCTTATGTTTTATGTGATCAACTTATATGACTGCACATCTAAAGAGCATTTGATTACCCATTATCTAAATCATATGTTTTTAGGATGATCAGTTAATCTTTCTGAGTACAGGTATTTAATAAGAGTGGTTAAGAAATGAACCCATTAAGGTCAAGTATCAAATTGTTCGATAGTCTTCATAGACAATTTCAATGAGAGGAGCGTAAAATTGATAGAACAAATATATTTATGCAGTCAAGCCACGACTATATTAGCACCCGCTCCCTATTTTTGGTTTTTATTTCCCTATCTTCAAAGTGTTTGGTCCTGCAATCAAGTTTTCAGGTAAGCTTCCTAGTTTTCCATCAACAGACTTAGGCACTTGAACTGATGGATACATTTCCTAAAAACCTAAAATCATGTGGCTCATTATCAGTATATGCTCTAAGAAGTTCAAAAAAAAGTGAAAGGAAACAAATTTCAAATTTTTATTACCTGTGAGAGTATTGGAATTGTGGCGCCAGAAAGAATAGCTGTTGTAGAAGAGAATAATAACAAAGGATTAAGTAAAGAATTGAAAATTGGCAAAGCTATATAAATTCCATGATCAAGATTTCATGAAATGAACAGAAGATCCAGAAATAAATTTCAAATAGAGAGGTCCATGAACTAAATGAAAAATAATACAAGCTGTCAACAAATTGGCATTTCGAGAGCAACTTGTTTAAGTCTTGTCAAAAGGACTCTTTGTATTTTGTAAGCAATGAAATGTCTTTAGAGGTTTGCAATTACTTATGGTACTCCTTTGCAATAAACACTTAGATTAAACATAATCTACTTAGATAATTGTGTTTCATAGCATCTTCAATTTTAAAGGATATCACTTTCCTTTTCAGATTTCTAGGCTAACATTATACAAAGTAAAAACTTCGAACTGAAAAGTATTAGAAGTGCTCTATATTTTCTTTGAATTTTTTACTTTCAAAATAATGTCTTATTTCCATAGAAGTTAATTACCTATTACATAGGAAACATTGCAGGTAACTCCCATCTAATTAGTAATAAAAGCACATGAAGAAATAATGTTTTGATGAATATCATAGTTGACAAAGAGACATCCAATTTGAGTAACGAAAATACTTTAAAACATCTACTGGATATTCTAGTAATTTGATTCAGCATAGACATTGTATTACCTCCAGCTGCCATGCCAGACGCAGCAGCAAGAGCCTCTAATAGACCAACAGCAACATATGGAATTTTTGGAAGGGAAAGCATTTCATCAGTAACCTTGCCAGTATGATACCGTACGTATAAGATAGAGAAGTATACGAGTACATATCTGGGTGAAAGGAGGCAGACGAAGCAATTAAGTTATTCCAGCCATTAAACAAAACAATTGGAAATAAACAATCAGTAACAAATGTGTCTACAAATTTTTATTATTGATGCATTGTACTCAGATATTCAGCATATCCAGCGCGAAACAAAGAACTTATACATACTTGTGATTTTTATCTTCTTAAGTCTTAGTAATGTGAGTTAAGTGATAGAGGAATATTTACAATTACTTTAGTCACACTATCAAAGAGTTCACGAATCCCCGTTCTGCCGTCCAAACAAGCCACCTGTTCAAAGTTCCGGGGTTGGGTCGGATAGGACCAGATCCTTGCACTTTCAATACTACCTAAAGTTGGCTTAAAACTGAACTTGTGTGGCTGTTAGAAAGTTAACTATAATAACCAGTTCATCAGAACCAATGTCATTAATAACAGTTCTGCTGTTTCTGATTCATCTCATTTAAAGCATCATTTGAACCAAATCTGGAAACCAAGCAAAAAAAGGTACAGAGCACAGAATTCAATCTCCCCTAATAAATTGCATAATAAAGTTACCCCATTCATCAAGTATCACAAACAATGTAGAGCAAAATCATCCTGCAGGAGCATTTTTTTTTCCAGTGACATTGTATATGTAGAATAAGCATACTGTTAAACTTGTTTGTAGGGGTAATACTTAATTTTTTCCCTTTTAATTATCACAAATTAGAACCACTTCTTATTTCCAACCACAAAGATTAACAATGAAGGCAACAGGGATTTAAATTTTAAAAGGAAAATTAAACAAATGCAAATATGTCACACATAGGTCTCAAATATACAAAGCAAATTTTTAACTATTGTTAAGGGAACACCAACATTCTGCCTATGGGACAACCCGATCAGTGTCATGGTCAAACATACTGCTTTCTTGATAAACTTGGTTAATAAATAAAGTTGTGCTCATTTTTTATATGATGGTAAGTGTTTTATCCTGATAAGTGGTTCAATTCCCAAGAATAACATGCACACACATTGTGTTGAGGTATTGTTGAGTAACACCAGAATCCTACCAATGGTGAAGCTTAAGTTATGGGTCGAGCATAGCTCGGGTTAGAGTCAAATATAGCACTTGATGGACTTGATTAAGAGATTAAGAAATAAAGTTACCATATTTACTATTAATTACTACTTCCTCTGTCCCAATTTATGTGACACATTTCGCTTTTCGAGGGTCAAACATTTTAAGTTTGACCAAAAATTTCCTCATGAAATCTTTAAATTTTTTAAAATGAAATTTATATATTTGTAAACTACATAAAAAGTACTATAAGTCTCAATAATTGATAATTTAAAATATTTAAAAAATATACAAAAAATTTACAGTAAAAAATAGACTTATTTGAATCTCGATATTCGAAATGTGTCACATAAATTGGGAGAGAGAGTATAACTTTTGGCATGACGGTAACATTTAACCTACACCCCCAATAATTGATGATGCATCAATGACTAGAAAACTATGGTAATATGGTCCAGTGGGTCCAAGGTGCAGTCAAAAGAATACATTCTAGGTAGGGGAAGTGATAAATTGAAAGACGCTATGCAAAGTTTTATTCTTTCATTGTGAATCACTAATACTATGATGGAAATTACTCTATTACCCCGATCTATGGAAAGTATGACAAGGACTGACACTGACAAAAATAGGCAGTACCTTTAAATGTCTCTATTACCCTTGGCATCATGTCACGTGACCTTGGAATTTTCTCACGTGGCTTTCCATTTTCTTTATTTTTGTAAAGGAACTTGTCTTTCAGCTAAGGGCACACATTACAAAATGGATCTACATGGAGCATTACTAAGAAGAAAAAAAGCATATTTCTCTATATTTAATAATTTTTTTATAACAATAATATATTCAATGTAATTTCATAGGTAGAGTTTGGAGATGATTAAGTGTACGCAAACCTTACCCTTACATTATGAGGCAGAAAGATTATTTCCAAAAGATCATAGGATCGAATAAAACACATCAAAACCATTTCAAAAGAAATATATAGATAAGTTGAACTAGGTTGTTTCATTTTATTTTTCTTAATATGTAAAATCTATATATTCTTAATTTACATGAAAAATACTATATTTTACAAATTGTTTCTCATACCAATTGTACAAATTAAATGTACCTTGCCGCTTGATATATTTACTATTTCTCTCTTATATTTTTATTATAATTATAATTGTCGTTTCCTTTCATTATAATTTCAACATCTTTGACCATGTTATACTCCCTACATACTGTTTTTTACTTATCACATTTTCTAAAAAATAGTTATTATTATATTAAAATTTAAAAATAAAAAAAGAGAATCGGTTCACTAATTTTACTCTAATAAATGTGGAATACGTCAAATTATTTCTTAATTAATGTATTTCTAAAATACGTGGAGAAAAAAAGGTGACAGTAAAATAGAACCAAAGAAATAACAAAAGATAGTTGACTTACACTATCCACTCGGGTCACCCTAAAATATCGCGGAAGGTAAATTCTCCTCCATGAAAAATTCGCGGGTTAACAAGGAAACAAAAAAAAAAAAACTTATATTTCAAATCTATAATAAAACAAAAAATAACATAAGATTGTTAATTATATTTTCAAATCATCATTCGGTGCTTGGATCAGTAGGAGATAATCGGTACTTTTTTTTCATCCGATATTCAATGCATGTATTTAAATCTCGATTAAATTTAAATCACGCATTATAAGGTCCATTTAAAGGTGGTGCTCCCAACAGAATTTTCTAAATACCTTTAAAATTAGTTGAGGTGGGCTAAGTTGGTCAGTTATATTAAAAATATATATTTTCTGAACTCTCATTTTACTTTCCAAAAATTAATAAGCAATATTATCCATTGAAAAATATAGTAAAAATATTCATAACTAGAATTTCTTTTTTGACTAGCTCAAAGGTCAAAAAAGGAAATAAACTCTCGATACAGATATTTTATTTTATTTATCCATTTTCACAAATTAAGAAAATTCTATCACTTTTTTCTCGTACTATGATTTATTTGATTGGAAATAAATTATCTTAGAATTAGTTATTTGTTATCATACCCTTAATATGAAAAAAATAACATTACAATAATCTTTAAGTTATTTTATAATTTTATCATATCAAACATGAAATAAACTTATTTAAAATCAATCTCATGAATCGTAATTTGTTATTTTTTACCCTTCGTATAAATAAGCTATTAGTCTTAAATAACTACGTAAAACCATACTAATAATCAAATTTAGAATTCTAAAGTATGTTACTAATAGTTAAGTAAAAATATAGTTTTAATTATATTTTAGTCATTGAATCAACAAGGATCAACTAATATGAAACGAGAGAAATGAAAAGAAAAAGAAAATTACCCGAAAGTGGCGAGTTGAGCCAAGAAGAAAGGATAGTTCTTCAAAGGCACTAACGCCAACTTGTAAAGCACGCGATTCCCTACACCTAGCACCACCGTAGCCGTCGCTGCAACCGCCACCTCCGCCCGTCGATTACTACTTTTCCGGTTCTCATTAATCTCCACAACCTGATCTCCCACCGCACACCTCCTCCTCCTCCTCCATTTCCCATTCTCTCCGCCATCGCGTCCGCGGCGGCGGAATACACCGGTCGATTCCGCTGCCGCAATTACGTAAAATTTCGTTCTCGTTGATCTGCTAGCGATTGAGGTCGGCCGGCGAGTATTGCTTATGAAATGATGAACAGATGTGGAAGAGAGATAATCTGGTGACCGGACAGCTGGAAGTTTTGTTACCGGAATATGATACCTTGCTATCGGCGACGACAATTCGCCGGTAATTATCCGGCGAGTACAAACCGACATGGTGAGATTGTACAATTATCAATTACGAAAATACGTAAAACAGATTTATTTTTTCTTTCAATTATTAATAATAAGAATTTCGAGAAGAAGCTCTTATATAACTTCTTCTTTTTTTGTAATATGATAGTGATTACGACAGAAAAACACATAAGGACAAAATAGGAAATAAAAAATTATTTCGATTTTTTTAATTTTAATTTGGAAGTTACAACGAAGGAAACAAATTAATATAGTCATTCACATCATAGCATACGTAAGCATTTTGATTTTATTTTTTAATTTCAATTTTGTGGAAGTCTTAAATTCGAAAGTGCATTCGATGGAAGTCTTCAAATTCGCTCACATGATACATATTCTTTTTATCGGTGTAGAACTATATACGAGAACTAGATGCTCAACTTAAAATGTTTCATAGCAGTGATATACAATTTTGAACCTAATGATCTGTCTAATAATCTTTCAAAATGGGGAATCCTTGTTAGCAATAATCATGATAGTAGTTGTGGGAAGCTAGAATATAATATATGAATTGATCGCAGCTTTAGTGTGTAATTCGTTTTAGGTGACAATATTGACTTGCAAAAAAGATACTAAAAATATCTACTTATTTCATTTATTTGTGTCATTATTTAAAGTTAACGCAGCCTTTAGCCATTGGTTTTTATCAAAAGAATCTTGTTGGCTTTTTAATCTTTTAATGTGTGGTCCTTTTTCAGTAGTAATAATAACTAGAATATTTTATGTAGAATAATTAACACTTTATTGGTTGTGTTAAATCATTAGTGAAGGTCCCCTACTTTGAAAAGGTAATGTAGTGACTACAAAAAAAAGAAAAGAGTGGGAACTTTTAAAACATATAAAGACAATAAATTGTTAGTACTTTTGAAACAACCCTTTCAAAGTTAGACTAACAGATCACTCATTCTTCCATTGAGAATAGGTGCACGAGTGACAACTCTAAACATCACACATTCACTACCTACCTACCATTTTGGTGGCACCAATAGATCCAATAAGGAAGTGTCGCGGCTACTCCACTTCACGTCAGTCTCATAAACTAATTCATTTCAATTTGTTTGTCTAATTTTGAATTGATATGAAGTTTGAGAAAGTAAAGGATCTTGTAGTTTTAAACATATCATACGGAAAGTTGAAGTTAAAAAATCGCTAAAAAAAGAAAAGAAAAGTTATTTTGAAACGGACAAAAGAAGAAAGTAAGACAAACAAATTGAAACGAAGGAGTACTAATCATTAAGAGAAGATTTTGAGTTCGGTCTTGAGGATAAAATCGCTCTTAGTAAAGAGCGTTAAACCCCAAAGTGGAGCTTCCCAACACGAACTCCAATTAGTAAGGTTCCAAAGCAGATATGAGATACCTAACACATTATGCAACAACAACAAACCTCGTGCAACCCCACAAGTAGAGTCTAGAGAGGGTGGTGTGTACACAGTCTTAAACATATTTTTTGTCAGTCTTAAACATTATGGGACACAAAAAGACTACTTGGATAACATTTATCTAGTCTAGTTAGTTTATCCTCAAGTTAAGCTCTGCAAAGATAAATAAGCTAAGATACCAGAGCTTGCAAATTAAAAGGACTATCTTCAAAAAGCAAAAAAGATGTGTTCCACTAATAATACAAAAAGAAGTTGGAGAGAAATTCCTTGCAGGTTTAAAAAATTATCTTCACAGCAGTAGAGAGTTGCAGCAACAAACCCATCGAAGAATTATTGTTTCCTTCCTCTTCCTTTCTTAGGTGCTTGTGCCTCCATTTGTTCTTTGCCACCCACTTCAGATATATCAGCTGCAACGAAGAGAAATTGCAAAGCATTACGATGACTGTCGCATTGGGGAGATGCAATTATGCAAGTATCAAATATAACTTCTTAGGAATCAATACGCGCAAAGATAGAAGCATGTCTAACAAGGTACGCGTGAGTAATTAGTAAAGATCAGATTGTCATTGGATGTTACTTATACCAAACAAACAAGGTACCATGTGAAGAAAGTTTGAAGAAGTAATACCGTCTGGACCACGAGACATCAAGGTGAAAAAAATGTTGTTAAGTTTCTCCATCTTCTTGGCATCTTGGGCTTGGTCAGTCTTAAACTTGATACACTAGCAAGGAATTAAAAATACAAACCATTAGAACAGGCAACCAATATGGAAAATTCTCTGACATGCTCCCATCAAGCATGGGATACTGGATACATTACATACCAAATGTCTAAAAAGGAACTATTACATAAAAGAGCTACATAAGTCCACAATTATGAGCTACCAAATGCATACAAGGGAAACATTACATAGAGGAGCAGCAAATGTCCCTCTTTTCATTCACGCGAGAACAAGAGGAACCCAAATATTTGATGCAAAGACTGAATAACAACTTTATTCAACACCATGAAGAAATAACAATGTCTGCAGAGCTAAAGGTAGAGAAGGGAGGGTTCAACTGATGCCTCTTCGTTTGAAAATTATACTATGCAAGTAGGGTGAGTAGTCTAAGTTAAGGACAAGAGGAGAAAAAAAGAAGAGTGAAACTCACTTGAGATAACATGTATGTATATCACTGATATAATATCTAATACAAAAACACACGATAAATCATCATGTTGTCCTTAATTTTTTTTATTTTTTTTATTTTTTATTTTATTTTTTTTATGACAAGGGAACCCGCAGCCGCTACCCTTTGGGTGCGCACAGGGTAAAACCCTCGCTCCTATGCAATAGCTCGCAAACCACATAGGAGAGGTAAACCGCACTAGGCAAACCTGGTGAGACGAGCTTGACCCAGAAGGCAAACCCCTTGCTTTCGCTAGCAAGGGGTTTCGAACTTGAGACCTCCAACATGGAAGTCCCAAGCTCAAACCACTGGGCCACCCCGAAGGGTTCACCATGTTGTCCTTTATTTAACCTGAAAACACACAAACACACATACTCCACATAATAGACATTGCTTGAAGATCTGTTTATAAGAAAGATAATTACATCACCATGCTCCGCAGGGAAAAAGGCGTACGGCAACACACGCCACCTATTTCCACACTTTATCACATACCTATCAGCGATGCTGCTATTATTCCCTACCCTTTTTTGGGTTGGGTTGGGTTTTGGGGGAAGGGGGAAGGGGGCTGAAAGGTAGGAATAGGAACAGGCACCTACTAATTGACTCTTTCTAGTTTCAGCACGAAAGAAGTGGAAGGTGATCATATTTTCTCCGTTCAATGACTGGTTTACCATCAGAATTATACAAGCCAACTCAAACATTTCAAACCAAAATAGAACACAATTATTTTAGGACTATTCTCCATTACTTTTCCATGAGAGGTACTAATAACTTTTGAATTTGGGTATCATCAAAGTTTCTGACAGAATGTCCAGTCACCCAAGTAAGCTGCAAAAGAGCTGAGGTATGTTCTAATGTTCAAACATAAGAGAACCAAAAGAAATAAGGTTCACCACAAGCTAGGTAATAAGAGAAAAATAAAAATATGTTGAGGGAAAAAGGACAATGGAGAGGCCTCAGCGCTTTGACAAATGGCAAAGGTAGCACAATGAGGGATAGCATGTCACAAGCTTGAATCCTGTTGTGGACCAAGTCTGGTAAAAGGACAGACTCATTATCTATCAAGTTTCGAAGATGGAAACTACGGGATTTCTCGGATATTAAAAAACTCATAGGGGGAGCTGAACCATAAAAGAATATGAGAGAGAAAGGAAAAGCATGGTAGGTACAGCATCAAGGATCTTAAATGTGCCCTCTACTGAAGTTTAGGGAGATATATGAAACCTCGAAGAGATTCCAGCAAAATATCTGGTCAATTCTAAATTTGTGATTAGAGAACTACAAAAATTGGCTTAAGTCATTTATGCAACTTATCCTAAGAAGCTTCACAAAAAATAAGCTTAAAAGCCATCCCATAGTAATCTCAAAGAGGCAAAAGATGATACACAGGTCATCTGATAAAACAGATCTCCCTGTCTGTCTGTCTCTACCCTTCGACTCCACACTTCCCCCTTCCTTTCTCCCCACCTTAAAAAGTTAAACATTTTCTTTTACTACTACATCTTTCACCCTCTTTGCCTTTTCACCAGAAGAATCAACTTCAAGAACATCCAAACAAAAGCATGTACATGATATAAGCTTTAAAACGAAGAAAGAGAAATATTTGTTATTGTAAATATAGCAGAATGTGGTCTGTCAATGATACTATCCATTTGAGAAACAACAAAAAATATTATCTGGGTTACTATAATGTTTTGGCTCGCTCAGGTCCAAGGATTGCAGATGACTCCATTTTTTAGACCATAAAAGCTTTTCTCGAGATGCTGTATAATTGTTGGCATCATTGCACAAAAGCCGTGTCTTCTTTAGGTGTTAAACTAGCTGGTTCCACAATCCTGGGTCATAGAGGAAAGAAAAGACTTCCTTTAACATCAAACATAACCTGCTTTCCTCTTAATCAACTCTTTCCATGTACTTCCCAGCTAAGCAGTGTTCTCATCTGATTCTCACTTTAACTCTTCCCCGACGTTGAATCTCTTTAGAGTTCTACCTTATCAATATTACAGTTGTAGTTATTCTAACAACTTATAGACCACAAGAGAAATAGCAATTAAGAAAATGAACATGACGTTATGAGTGTAACATGTGGTAAGGAGAAAAAGAAAATAGTGCATATGAAATATTAACAGACACAAAACAAGAAATCCATTACTCGTTACTTCACACATAAGCAAAAAAATAACACTAAAATATGCCATCAAGCATGAGTGCATAACTTGGATATCTACCCTCTCCCCCTAAAGAAAGTCAACTTCCACTATCGAATGCCAAAACACTCATCTCTATAAAGCCTAACAGCACACTAAAAAACTACTACAAGATAGACCAAACACCTCAGCTAACCAGGTTAAAAGATACCCTGCTTCCACATAAAACAAGAACAACAACTACACCTCAGTCCCTAGCAAGTTAGGGTCTGCTATACGAGTATTTACTTACAATATTGCTTCATTAAAGCACATCTTAGACCCATATTATACAAAAATAATAGTGGTAATATT